CTTCCCAGGCCCCGAAAGGTCCCGTTTGACGCCCTTGTCAGGGCTCGTTTCCAGTGGCAGGCTCAGTCCGGGTGGGGCGTGTGTTTCTCTCTCACGTCCATGCTTTTTAAAAATGTTTTTATTGATTTTTTACAGAGAGGAAGGGAGAGGGGTAGAGAGTTAGAAACATCGATGAGAGAGAAACATCCATCAGCTGCCTCCTGCACACCCCCTACTGGGGATGTGCCCGCAACCAAGGTACATGCCCTTGACTGGAATCGAACCTGGGACCCTTCAGTCCGCAGGCCTATGCTCCATCCACTGAGCCACACCGGTTAGGGCTCACGTCCATACTTTTGTCTCTCCCTCTCCCTTCCTCTCTCTCTAAAAATCAATTAAAATTTTTTAAAGAAAGAAAAGTGGAGTACGCACCCTGACACATGCTTGTTATTCGGTGGGTTATGTGCGGGCAGCACTGTAATGAGGTCAGAAACTAACCAAAGGATGAGCTGGGGAAGAATAAACACCCAGGGCTAACGTTGGCCTTCGAAGCTGCCGCCAGGTGGCGCCAGACGCCTGCCAGGCCTGGGATTGGGGTTTCAGCTGTTGGCTGGTGGCTTTGTGCTTTGCAACCCAGGACGCATCTCTGTGTCTGTACCTGCCTGTTTCTCCATCTTACACATACAATTAGCGCCTGTGTCCCCGTCCGTGCGCACTTACGCCTGGTTGTGTGTGCTGCTGGAGTAATCTTTCCGTGACAGTTCAGGTAGGAGCAAGGCTTGGTTACAAGTGGTGACTGCTGCCCGGCAGAGCCTGCCCCGCGTCGGTGCTCAGCCAGGGTCTGTGGATGAATGAATGAGTCGTCCAGGCGAAGGACTCTGCCTCTCCAGAGGCATTGGGGAGCCACGGAAAGGTGGGGAGGGTGCTGTGGGACCTGCCTGGCTCCTGCTGGGCTCTGGGCCTTTCTACAGGCTGTTCCCTCTGCCTGGAACACTCCTGCCCATTCACTCCTGCTCATCCTTCAGACCTCAGGTCTGGCGCCCCCTCCTCCAGGAAGCCCTCTGGGCGCCAAGGCTGGGTTAGCTGCCCCCTCTCAGCTCCTGCAGCCCAGCCCTGCCCTCTCTGGGGATGTCTGAGGATGGATCTCTCAGCACTGCACTGGGAGCCAGGAGGGGAGGGCCAGGCCCATGTCCGACATCACGGTGTCCCCAGCACAGGGCCAGGCACAGAGCAGGGCCTCAGGGGGCGTGAGAGAAAGGAGGAGATGTTCTGGCCCATTCTGCCCAGCACGTTGGGTTCTGGGGTACCCTGTCCCTGACCGTCTCTCTGCCCGCAGTTCCGGAACTTCAAGATCATTTACCGACGCTACGCCGGCCTCTACTTCTGCATCTGCGTGGACGTCAACGACAACAACCTGGCCTACCTGGAGGCCATCCACAACTTCGTGGAGGTGAGCGCCTGGGGGCGGGCTGGGCCCCCGGTGGCCTCCAGTACGGGGACCGTCCCTGGTCCCGCTGCGCAGACCCTCCTCTACCACAGCCGCCTCTTTCTCTACCCACCTCCCTGCTTTTTGTGTTCTCTCCTTTTTTGTAACATATTTTTATTGATTTCAGAGAGGAGGGGAGAGAGAGATAGAAACATCAATGATGAGACAGAACCATCGACCAGCTGCCTCCTGCACGCCCCCCACTGGGGACCAAGCCTATATCCCGAGCATGTGCCCCTGACGGGAATCAAACCCGGGACCCTTCAGTCCACAGGCCAACGCTCTATCCACTGAGCCAAACCAGCCATGGCCTTTTCCCCTTTTCTTTGGTCCTTGTTTCTGCTGCAGCCCACTGTCGCCTTTATGCAGCCGTCTGTCTCCGTGCCCACACGTCACTTTCCCCATTCCTTTCTCCCTCTCCCTCAGTCTGTCTGTCGTTTTGCCATGTCATTCTGTCATCATCTGATCTTCGCTCTTGTTTCTCTTCCTCTTCCTCTCTGTCTCCCTCTCCCTCCCACTCGGTCTCTTTTGCCATCTCTGTCTGATGACCTCTGTTCCTGTCTCTGTGTGTCTCTCTCCCTGCCCATCTCTCACCGTCTCTCTCCCTCTCCCAGGTCCTAAACGAATATTTCCACAACGTCTGTGAACTGGACCTGGTGTTCAATTTTTACAAGGTGGGCTCCTGGTGACATCGCGGCCGTGGGGGCCACAGGCAGGGGAGGGGGTGGGCCGTAACCCCTGTTGGCACCTCCATGCCTCTGCTGGTGCCCATTTCTCAGCTCTCAGGCCTCGGAGCCCCCAGCTCCCAGGTCGGGACCAGCATCCGGGCCCCTTCCCTCACACCGGCTCTCTCATCACCTCCCTCCACTCAGGTTTACACAGTCGTGGACGAGATGTTCCTGGCCGGCGAGATCCGCGAGACCAGCCAGACGAAGGTGCTGAAACAGCTGCTGATGCTCCAGTCCCTGGAGTGAGCGGCGGCCCCTGCGCCCCGGCCTCCCATGGACTTGCCTGCTCGCTTCCCCGTTCCAGGCCCGGGGCCCGCCCCGGAGCCCCTCCCTCGGCTGCCCAGGAGGACGCACCCAGCTGGGTCTGGGCCGCAAGGGAGGAGACTGCACCCCACTGCCTCTGGGCCCCAGCTGCGGGCGGAGGCCACCTCGTGTGTATTGAGTAACCGTGCCGTTGTCGTGTGACACCGTGAGTGCGTGTGTGGAGCCCCCAATAAACCTGTGGTCCCCTCCTGGCCCCGTGTCTGTCTTCCCTGGGAGCCAGGGCACTCGGGACTCCCTGGTTAGTCGGTCAGCAAACGCTCCTTGTACCGAGAGGCACGTTCACACCTGCCCCTGCCACAGGGACCCCGGACTGGAAGGGGTGACAGGTTTAGACCCGGGCACGTGCTACTCAGATACTAATGTTCACAGCGAACACTTACAGCACTGAGTACCTCCCAGGCGTCGCTCTAGGCGTTGACACGTGGTACTTTACTCCTCAGCTACGAGGGAGAGATGCTCCCTCATTTTTCAGACGCGCTCAGGAAGGTTCAAAGACTCGCCTGAGGTCACAGAGCTGGTCAGTGGCCGAGCCAGGTTTGTTCCGAGCTAGTTTTTTGTTTTTTTCATTGATTTGCAGAGAGTGTGGAAGAGAGGGAAAGAAACATCGATGTGAGAGAAACATCGATGGGTTGCCTCCTGCAGGCACCCTGATCAGGGCCCAGGCCGGGGAGGATCCTGCAATGAAGGTATGTGCCCTTGACCGGAATCGATCCCGGGACCCTTCGTCCACAGGCCGATGCTCTATCCACTGAGCCACACCGGGTAGGGCTGTTTTTTTTTTTTAAAGCATTTTTTAAAAAAATATGTGTTTATTGATTTCAGAGAGAGGAAGGGAGAGAAAGACAGAAACATCAATGATGAGAATCATTGATCAGCTGTCTCCTGCACACGCCACACTGGGGATCGAGCCCATAACCTGGGCCTGTGCCCTGACTGGGAATCAAACCATGACCTCCTGGTTCACAGGTCGATGCTCAACCACTGAGCCACGCCGGCTGGGCTCTTCTGGCTACTTTTGAGCCCAGGCAGGCGGCTGCGGAATCCTTGTTTTATTTTAACCACTAGTTTGGATGGTTGTTTCAAGGGCAGGCGCTGGGCCCAGTGTTCAGTGGTTCCCGCAGTGGCACTGCTGGCCCCGGGGAGGACAATTCTTCATGTGGGAGTCTGTCCCGGGCATGGCCAGGCTGTCGGCCCCTCCACCAAATGCCAGCAAGTGGCCTTCCGGCCCTTGTGATGAGAAAACACCCCTGTGTGCCTGGTGCCCTCTGGTGGCAGTGCTCCGCTCCCCGTGCCCGCTGAGAGCAGTGATGGCGGCTGGCTGCATCTGTGACGGGCGCCCTTGGCAAGCTGAGAACTATACCAGTCGTCCTGGTAGCTCTTATGAATGTGACTCGGCCTCCCTCAGTCTCCCAGCTCCACCACATACCTGCTGGGAGACCTTTGGGTAAGTCACTGCACCTCTCCTGCCTGCCTCAGTTTCTTCATCTGGAAAATGGATCGATAATAGTTTCTATCTCACAGGGTGCGCTTGGGAATTGAATGAGTCACTCATGGGAGAGTTTAGGATAGTGAGCACGCATTCACTCGGCAGACATTAGGCGCCTGCTGTGTGCACGGCCGGTCGGAGGCACTGGAGGTGTCTGCAGAGGGGGACAAGGAGTGCTAGCTCTGATGATCATGACACACGGGAACGGAGGCTGGGAGGGGGAGTCCTTTACAGAGACGATCACTGTGACAGTGTATTGGTTTCTTATGGCTGCTGTACAAATGCCCACAAACTTCGTGGCTTAAAGCAACAGGGCTTTGAGACCGACCACTTGTGGCGGGTCACGGCGGCGGGGGAGGCGTCCAGGCTGAGGCTGGGGTCTGCAGCCAGGTGATGGGGTGGGAGGTGAGCTCACCCGGATGGGCCCGGGAAGGAGCAGGTGGAGGAATATGCTGAGGTCCTTAGGGCACGGGAACTGTATCAGTTTCCTGTGGCTGCTGTAACAAACGACCACACACTGGGTGGCTTAGGACAGAAGAAATGGATTCCCTCCAGGCCTGGAGGCCGGAGTCTGAAATCAAGGTGTGGGCAGGGCCGTGCTCCCTCCAAGGCTTCTTCCAGCTGCTGGTGACTCCCATGTTCCTGGGCTCGTGGTGCACCGCTCCCGTCTCTGGCCATTTCCTCTATGCATCTCCTCTTCTGTCTCCAACAGGGACACTGTCCTTGGACCTAGGGCCCACCAGGGTAATCTAGCATGATCTCATCTCAACATACTTAACTTCATGGCATCTGCAAAACTTCTTTTCCAAATAAAATCATGTTCACCTGGACATGTCTTTTTTTTTTTTTTTTAATCTTCACCCGAGGCTATTTCTCCATTGATTTTTAGAGAGTGGAAGAGAGAGGGAAAGACAGAGAGAAATACCGATGTGAGAGAAACACATCGATTGGTTGCCTCCTGCGCGAGCCCTGACCAGGGCCCAGGCTGGGGAGAAGCCTAAAACCGAGGTACTTGCCCCTGACCAGCATCGAACCCGGGACCCTTAAGTCCACAGGCCGACGCTCTATCCACTGAGCCACACCGGCCAGGGCTCCTGGGCATATCTTTTTGGGGGACCACCATCAATCGACTCAAGTGAGTGTGAGCCATCGGTCCGCCAGGAAAGGCAATCAGGAGGCCTTTGGACATGGGGATCCGGGGCTCAGAGAGGGAAGGATGCAGAGAGCGTTTGCATATTTGTGTATTTAACGAGTGTTTCTGAGGCACCTGCCATATGCCGGCACTGTGGTAGTGCCAGGGGATACAGCAGTGAGCAGGACAGATCCCTGCCCTCAGGGAGCGCACGTTGTCCTGAGGAGGAGGGGCAGTGCAGAAGCAAGTCCGTATCCAGTATGACAGGAAGTAAGAGGGCCGTGGAGGCAAAGCAGAGTGAGGGGGCGGGAAGCCTGGCAGAGGCCACGGTGTTCTATGGGTGGTCGGGAGGCCTCTCTGGAGGAGGTGACGCTGAACTGAAACTAAGGGAGGGAGAAAATGAACCATGGGAAGTTTAGAGGAAGAGTGTCCCAAGCAGAGGGAACAGCAAGTGCAAAGGCCCTGAGGCAGCACATGCAAGGAGGCCAGCGTGGTTGGAACAGAGTGAGCAAAAGGGAGAGAGGAGGCGATGTGTTCAGAAAATAGTGGGGCTGGAGGGAGCAGGAAGAAGACAGGACACACAGGCCAGATCAGCTGTGGTGAGAACACTGGGTTTACTGTGTAAGACAAGAGTCACAGGAAGGATTTTACACACACACACACACACACACACACACGTACACATATATATGTATATATATGTGTGTGTGTGTGTGTGTGTGTGTATATATATATATACATATATATATATATATATAGCATAATATGCTAATTAGACTGGACAGCCAAACGACCTTCCAGACGTCATTCCGGACGTCCTTCCCAATGAAGCGGTGGTGGGGGCCGAGGCAGAGGTGGTTAGGGGCTATCAGGCAGGCAGAGGGGTCAGGGGTGATCAGGCAGGCAGGTGAGCAGTTAGGAGCCAGTGGTCCTGGATTGCGGGAGGGATGTCCTGTGGGATCGGGCCTAAACCAGCAGTCGGACATCCCCTGAGGGGTTCTGGATTGTGAGAGAGTGCAGGCTGGGCTGAGGGACTCCCCTGCCCCGCCATGCACGAATTTCGTGCACCGGGTCTCTAGTATATATATAAAAGCCTATATATATATATATATATATATATATATATATATATATATCCCCAGCGACTGAACGGTGGAATGACCAGAACGACCAGTCGACCAGTCACTATGAGGTGCACTGACCCAGGGGAGCAGCCGCTAGCAGGCCCAGGGTGAGGCCAAGTCTCTGCACCTATCAAATATCTGAGACAATCCAGACACTGGCCTGACCCCACCAGCTGATGCAGGCCCTCTAAGGTGTGTTCTAGAAAGAGCACAGGGAGCTGGCATAGGCGGATGGCAAGAGGGGACGTGACTGTGGACCCCCCGGGGAGGCTGTCCTGATGGCTGAGGATCCTGGAGCACGGCTGCCCTGAACACCCCCGATGGTGTCTCCGGCCTGGCATCACACATCAAGGACATTCACCGAGTGGCTTTGGGGTGCAAAGCTCTCTGCCAGGTTCCCCCAGGACACAGAACACCCGGTACCCAAGACATTACCCCAAAATATCAGCTCAGACTAATTTCCTCATTTAGCAGCTGCTCAGAGGGTGGGTCCACAGCTGCTCAGCATGCTCCCACAGTAGGCTGATCCCCACAGGCCATGCCCCCTACCAGTGCACAAATCTATGCACCGGGCCTCTAGTGTGTGTGTGTGTGTGTGTGTGTGTGTGTGTGTGTGTGTGTATGTATATGTGTGTATATATATATATGTATATATATATGTATGTATATATATATATATATATATATTTTTTTTTTAATTGATTTCAGAGAGGAAGGGAGAGGGAGAGATAGAAACAGCAATAATGCCCTCCCTCGTTTGGCTCAGTGGATAGAGCACCGGCCTGTGGACTGAAGGGTCCTGGGTTCAATCAAGTCAAGGGCTCGATCCCCAGTAGGGGTCGTGCAGGAGGCAGACAATCAATGATTCTCTCTCATTATTGATGTTTCTCTCTTTCCCTCACCGTGAGGTCAGCTGAGATGGTGGCTGAGTGGGGGCGAAAGAGGAGGCCTCAGACAATGACACAGAAGGAGCAGCCTGGTGCAGAGCTCAGGAAGAGAGTGTTCGCACCTTCACTGCTGTTGAGGTCGCCGAGCTCTGTTAGAACGGCTCCTTTAACTACCCGTGTGACTGGGGGTGGGACACCCCCCCCCCCCCCCCCGACTTCTCCTGTCGCAGGGGGGGCGTGCAAAAATGGTGCAGCCTCTCCCGCAAAACAGTCTGGCAGGTTCTTATGAAGTTAAACATTACACTCCCTCTATGACTCAGCAATCCCACTTCTACTTGCTTAGCCAAGAGGAATAAAATTTATGCACAGAATCGCTATGTGAGCCCAAGGAAACAAAAACTTGTCTTCACACAAAAACCTGACATGTGAATGTTCATAGCAGTACCAGTCGCAATGGCCAGAAAGGACACCCATTCACTGATGGTGGATAAATAAGATCGGCGAGAGCCACGCAATGGAATTACTCGTCAGCCACAAAGAGGAATGAAGTTCTGGCTCTGGC